GGAACATAATAATAAGAAAGAGTTTGCTAAGTGCCTTCTCTATGCAGGAAAAGACCTAGGAAAGATTACATCTGTCACTCAGCAAAGACAGAAAGCTTTTGACAGATCACCATCAGAAAGCCTTTTTTACTTTCATCTTCGCTACGGGAATCAGCTGTGATCAGATTGCAAAAATAATCAAGACCAGTATCAGAATAGTGGTAGCTCTGGCCACAGTAGGAAGAGTTTCAAGAGCATTTAGAAAGCACTAGATAAGGTCAGGCCATTAAACTCATCTTAGAAGAATTTCAGATCTACCAGTGATCACCCCTGAAGACCTGTGGAGGACCAATGGCTTCCACAGAACTCAGACTAGTGCAAACATAGCAGCTATCTTTAAGATGGAAGGATTGAAAGGGACCATTGGGTCATCTTACCTTCTGTTCATATAAAAATACTGGAACAAAATAATCAACCTATCCATAAGAGCTTAGAATAAGGGTTTTGGAGATGAACAGACAACATGGATATATTCACGATAAATTACATCAAACCTACCTAATCTCATCTCATGACAGTATGACAGACCTTGTGGACAGGGAAGTCATACATCTCAACTTCTGAAGGCTTCTACCACTGTCTCACCTAACAGTCTCATGTAAGTGAGCTATGGGATATCCTCCAGATGACATTACTGCAGGGGGCTGGAAAAGGTTAGAAAATCATACTCCAAAATGATACCTTCATAGTCCATTGTCAGGATGGAATGATGTCTGGAGAGGGTCCTGGGCCCAGCAATATCCAATATCCAATACTTTTATTAATGTCATAGAAGATGGAACAGAAAATATTTTGCATGATATCTGCAGATGGTACCAAGCTAGGGGGAACAGCAACAGCCTTTGCAGATAGCATTGTAATACAGAATGATCTTGACAAATTGCAGAAACAGGCTGAAAAAATAGGATGCAATTCAAGATGAATCAGTGCAAAGTTGTCACTGATGCATAATCAGCTGTTCAAATATAGGATGGGGACAACTGATTACAAAGCAGTTCTGCAAGAAAGCATCTGGGGTTACAGTGAATCAGAAGCTGTACATGAGTCAACAGTGTCATGCTGTTGCAAAAAGGGCATATGTCAAACTGGGACATACAAACAGGAGTGTCATGTGTTATACATGTGAAGTAATCCCACTTGGTGCTGGGAAGATTTCAAATGCAATACTGCATCCACTTTTTGGTGCTGTACTTTGAAACATATGTTGTCCAGCCACAGAACAATGAAAATAGTGCCAGGTCCAGAAAACATGACCTACAAGGAATGGCTGAAGAAATTGGGGTTGTTTGGTGAGTAAATGTAGTAAGTCTTCAAATAAATTAAAAATTGCCTGAAAGAGGAATTAAGTTGTTCTCCATTTCATTTGAGAACACCATAAAAAGAGACAGACAGGATACCAGAAGGTGTTCAATAGTAGGAAAATTTTCTCAATTCACTCAGGAGTGAAACAAGTATAGTTAATCCTATCACTGGGCAGAGAGGACTGCACCAGATCACTCTGCTTTCTGTATGGATATTCAGTCTGACTGTCGATTCTTTCAAAATCATTGTGATCCGATTATTTTTTTTCCTGTAATTTTGAATAAGAAGGAAGTAAACACTGAATCTGACAATGTCATTAGCTGGCAATATTTACTGCATATTGAAAAATTTTCATTTATCAAACCCAAATAATTTCTAACTTTTTTTTGTTTGTTTGTGGAACTTGTCAGAATTTCCACTTTTTCTTTCTCTGAAGTGGTAGGCAAAGCGTGAAGAGGGTCATCAACTCTGAGATTAATTTAATTCAAGATGAATTATGTACCTACATATAAATAACTTCTGGGAAAAAGAAAAAAAAAAAAGGGGAAGAAAAACTCCCTACATTTAATTATCAGCATAGCAGCCACAGAAAGACAACAAAAATGAGTAAGATAAGACACTTCAAGTAACACAGCTGAGTTCATTGTGACTACTCGGGATGGGAACTGTTATCAAAGTCAAGTACACAAAGCGTATTTGGCCCTTTATTGTGCACAAAAATGTCTGTAAACTTTATTGTAATGCACAACAAACCACACACATTATTTTGAAAAATCAGACCAAAACCACCCCCGAGCTATAGCAATAGAGGATTTTCACTATCCCAGATCACACTATTGTTCCATGTAATCCGCACCTAACCAAGAAATTGGAAAACCTCTAAGAACATACCTAGTTGATTGTATATTGCTATATTTGGGGGGCAAAAATTCCTTCCGAATCCCTGTGGGGAATTCAGCTCATGCCCTGAAGCATGAGATTTGATTACTCTTTTTTGAACATGCATAACTGCCATTGCTATTACTGGTCATAACATTTTGTCAGGAAAGAGAAATATTATTCTGCAATGTAATAAAAATAGATAAAATTCAATATAGCTTCAGAATCATTTGCTACATTTCCAAAGTAAACATTAAGCACCCATCAAGATTATTCCATTGGATAAGCCAAGGAAGCCTCCAGTGCTATCTGTTCATTTTATTATCTCTAATTTTCAAGTGTTCAAAAATGCTTTCAGTAAATATTATGGGTTCTTCCTGTGCTAAAAGAGATGCTAAATGACCTTCACCAACTTAGTTATAAATAACAGAAGCTGGGAGCACACAAATGCTGTATAGTTTCAGCTCTATTCAAACCTATCAGCAAATTCTGACCAGTGGATAAAAATGGTCACCAGATTCTGCTTGCTTGTTTTCCCCTTCTTCATAATCCCACCCCAGTTCCCTCTTGAAAGGCATTCTGTTCTGTCAGCCATAATGGCATCTGCTGGTGGAGACAGGAAGCCATAAATCTGTAGGGTTCCTCTCGACCAAGCCTTGTTAATGCTCCCATTTATCACCGGGGATAGGGTGCCATCTCACTAGTGCTCTACTCAGAAGTCCATCTTCTCAATTTCCCCTTCCCAAAGGAGTAACCATTTAAAACAGTGACTTTCTCATCTTGCATGTTGAGACTGAAAACGCCACTGATACAAATACCATACCCAGTGTGTAGCGTTTGGATTTAAGCCATGACTCTGGAGAACAATAGCCACTACTTGCTGATCCCAGACTACACCGAACCTCTGCTTTGCCTACATCTAGAGCTTGTATCTTTTCAACTTGCACAAAAGTAGCAATCCCAGATGGAGAGGTTAAAATCTAAGGGGACAGTGACATTTGTCCTCCCCCCACCACCCCCAACCCTGATGTCTGCTAGTATCCCAACACATCATGCCACATCCCATGGTTTGGGAGAACTGTTAATAAGACTGTGTTAAAACAGTATTTAATATGCAATTCTTCATAATAAACAAACTATCCTAAACAGAGGTGCATTATCCTTCTGTGCGGCCAGGGAGGAGAGGAAATATAAAGCCAACTAGAAGTATCCCCATTTTTCTGATTTGGGATCCAAGACGCAGAAGCTGAAGGGTTCAAAATCACAAATCAAGGCAGGATGAAATGTGAAAAGAAAATCCTAGTTTGTCACCCTGCCCCTGAACTTCCTGATCCAGGTCCAGTGCCACACTTACAAATTAGATAGTGTGTCACTTCTTCTCATCACAGTGCTGGGATAATTGCCCCGCTGCTGCGGATGCTCTGGCCCCTCTTGGCCCTGTGTTTACACCTGCCTGAGCTGGAGAAAAAGCAGAAATCCCCTGGTGTGCACCAAGAGGATTTTACATGTGCTGCACACAGGTATAAGAGGTCTGTGTAATTCCAACTGATTCAAGCAGAGCTGTTCACTTCTGAGTGAGTTATGCTAGGCAGAGTGGAAAAATGAGTATTTTATAGTAGTGTTATCCTATTTTATCTTTCAAACTAAGCATTTGCTTGCACCAATAAATACTTTCAAATTGCTTATAAAAATTGCTAGAGTTCGTACAGGGAAGGCTATAAAATAATTTAAGTGAAATCAGTTAGGTGGACACTTTCATAAACACAACCTCGTATTAGGCTGCTAAATACAAAGGTCACTTAGGGGTCTTCCCGTAGAAACTCATTCCCCACCGGAGCTGCAGGACTGCGGTTTGCAGATCACCGGTGGCACCGGCTATAACACAGCGGCTCTTGCTGGTGCTTCACAACAGAGCCTGATCTAACGGACTGATTTTAGAGGGATGCAAATTATTCCTCTTAAACCCAATAGTTGCATTAGAAATATAAATATCAAAACAAAACAAAACAAAAAAAAGTGTCTAGGAACTCAGTTCCACAGCAAACTCCGGGATTAGGCTTCAAGTATTGCAAAATGGACCTGTAAGAGATACAAATACACCAATTGTATACGATATACACAATTGTATGACACAGATTATAGTTGAACGTATGAAAATGAATCCATCCTTTCAGCCCCAAATCACTTTTCAAACCCTCAGGGTGGGGGGGTTCCACAGCAGCTGTGGAAAAAATCCTGAAGTGACTGAGGGGGGCAGGGGGAGTTGTCTCCGTGTGCCTCAGGGAGCGAAACTGTTGGAGGCTCCGGTGTCACCTGCCCCCGCTCGGCCCTCTCTGGAAGGGTGACAAACTCCGTGTGGTCGGACGGGACGTACATTTGGCTTGTCGTGAGGGTGCAGAAGCACCTGATGGAGATACGTGATCCCCCAGCTCCGGGTGCAGGGGGAATTCGGAGGGCAGAGGGTGCGGAGCCCGACGCGCCCACCCGCGCTCCCGGCGCGCTGGCGGCGCAGCGCTTCCCTCCCGCGGAAGGGCCTCAGATGAAGCCCGGGGTTTCACTCGAACTTCACCGAACTTTGCGTTTACGTCCCACCACGCGGGTTCCCCCCGTGCTGCTCCCACCACGGGGACAACCGTCAGGGTGAGGGGTAGGATCGCGGAAGTCGAGAAGGCCCCGGTTCCCCCAGCCCCCAGCCCTCCGCCGGCATCTCCCCCCGAGGAAGC